CCCCGCCTGTATCGGCAAAGGCAGCGGGGACACAGACCACTGCAGCTGGCAACAGTGGGGAGGAGAGACCGTTGTGACTGCATTCTCCCGCTCTTCTGCCTCGCCCCCTTCTACCTGTTCTGCCCCCCCCCCTTCCTCCCCCCCCCCCCCCCCCCACGCTGCTGCCCCGTTTCTCCTCTGCATCTAGAAGCTTGGAGCCATACCCAGCCTGCTATTGTATATTTTAAAATGCAATAGCAGGCTGGCTATTGCACCCACTGCCTGCTGTCAGCAGAGGAGGAAATAATGGAGAACTTTCTCCTTCAGGTCCCTCCTCTGCTGAATGCCAGTGGGCGTGTGCAATAGCCAGCCTGCTATTGCAATTTGAAATATCCAATAGCAGGCTGGCTACTGCTCCCAGCAATAAAGTAAAAAAAAAATAAAGTTAAACAAAAATCTCAAATAGAAAAAATAATTTTTTTTTGTGTGCTATTTTAAATAAAAAGTTGGTTATTTTATTGTCTGAGAGTTTTACAATTCACATTATTTTAAATCCATGAAACTAAAATGTGTAATATAATACAATTATTAAAATAATATATACTGTGTATAAATATATAAAAGGTGGGAAAAGTAATTCTCAGTTTCTGCCTGACAAATTCTGCTGCATGATCTGTGTTGCGGAGCCATTCATTTCAATGGATCCCAAATGCGCCTCCAATTCGCAGTGTGATTACCCGCACTGGAATGTGCGGTACTGCAGTGCTCTGCGTTCCAGTGCAGTGCGATTTTAAAAAAATGTGCATACCGTTTTATTCTTAAGTATACTTTGTCTGTAACGCTGCATTTGTGTATTTTATATGAATGACGGTATTAATGTTTTAATTTTATCCGATTAATCGAACTTAATAATTGGCTAACCGATTATGAAAATAATCGGTAGCTGCAGCCCTAATTGACGTCTTTTGAAATGATGCAAGGCTTTTTATTTTTTTACTCTAGTGACACGGGTAACAGCTGACTCCTCCCCCGCACTGCCAGCTCTGTCTCCTGTGACAGCTGACGGCTATCTCCTCCCCATACAGCTCTCCATCTTGTTCTGCCTCTCACAGGAGGCCGAGTGGGGTGGTGCGGGAGGAGAGCTCAGCCTCCTGTGACACAGACCACTGACAACTCTCTCCTGCCTACCCTGCCTTATGAAGGTTTCTCTATTCCCTGCTGTATGCTGCTCTGTCTCAGAGGGGGCACAGCAGCGCCCAGCGGGGAGGAGAGAAACTAGGGATGCACCGCAATTTGGGCCGAAAAAAGGTAGTTTTGTAATTTTGCACAGCTGCCTGTTCTTCCTTATGGGAGGACGCAGCTGTACGCTGTCATACGGACACCCGAACTGCACATCCGTGCGGGTCTGGGTGTCTGCACGTGGATGCAGACAAGATGCATCGGACATGTTTGCCCCATGTGAATGAGGCCCTAAACTCTGCTCCACTGGAGTTGATTTACTAAAGAGTAATTTAAATATTTAGTGAAATGAACATTCAATCATATGGAGGGTGTTTAAACAAAAAAAAAAATCTGCATGTGATTGAATATTTGCACCAAATCTCAAGAGAATTACCAAGTGTGAAAAGTGTTCCTAAAGTTTAGTTGCTTAATGAATGATCTGTAATATGTATAGATTAAAAGCTTGAATACTTTTGTACGGTTTTCTTTTAGTCTGATCTGAAATGTGTGCAAGATGCCAAAGGAGGATCATTTTATAGAGACCACTGTCCTGTGCTGGGTGAGTGATGGTCAACACTTCTGAAGTTATCAACTGTTAGGAGTGTATCATCCGAAAATGCTAACTAGCAGTAGCTGTTATATAAGTACATATTAGTTTTCCTTTTACGAAGGGACAATCGTGTTGCAATTTTTTCGTGTGTGTTAATAGACTTTTCTTACTGAAACTCTAGTTGGAGCAGTTTAAGGGATGGGCTACTCCTCTCTGTGTAAATTTCAGCTTAGAGAAGAACTCCATGCAAAACTTTAAGTTAAGGGTGAACTTATATACACACACCTGAACTCAGTTGCCTTCCTGCTCCTCTGGTTTCTGAAGCCAGTCTCCTCTACACTGCGGCATTGGAATTGGCTGGGAAGCCGGCTCCATGCTGTTCAGCCGAATCCATGCTGATTTGGCTGGGAAGCCAGCTTCGGCATCGGTACATCCCTACAAAATATTTTGTTTTTAATTGTTTAAAAAAATGTCAAACAGCTTTAAAAAAAAATGTCAAAACTTCTATGGCCTCCCTTACACAGGGTCTCTTGACACCACAGTGTTTTGCTTGGGTACATTTGAGAAAGAAATTCGTGCATGCAGCATTTTTCTAGGGGTTACACCTCCTATTATAGTCTATGGTGGCATCTTCTCCTGGAACGCGCTTGGTGTGAACAAGGCCTACAGGCTAAGTTCACCTTTCTGACCATGATTCGTGTTACACCCATATT